ATTGGAACCGCTCAGTATAGTAATTATTTCGACTAAAGTTTTTCGGGGTTTGGGTACGCTTATCAGGGCTTATCTAGCGACTAATAGCTAACTCAGTTTTTTCAGTAGCACCAGGTGCCCACGAAGGCACAGTTAGATATATCTGTTCTGCCTATATAGACAGCAATCATCATCATCTAGATATAAGCAACCGCTGCTGTTTTAGTTTTAGTAACAAGAAGTGATCTTTTTGATTAGAACACGAAGGAACTGTGCACAGTATACGCTTATCAAGGCGTTTTGCAGATTCATTTCTTAATTTATTATTTTTCTGGCTAGTTAGCTAGTTTAGTGGGGTTTTGAGGTAGGTGCCCATGAAGGCACAGTTAGTGTTTTTTGTAATACTTCTTATAAACTAACACTGGAAATTTAATTGATCTTTGTTCCTGTCTACCTATTACAGATAGTACATATATTGCATTGCAGTATAAGTCAATTGAAACCATCAATTTACAACAATTTAGTCAATCGAAATCATCAACTTATAACAACTTTAGATACTATCTTAGCCAATTGAAATCATGAATTTATAACAATTTTAGATACTATCTAACTGCTGATTATGTGTCAAGCATTGAACTTATAACAATTTGGACATTATAATCATTTATTTGTTGTGCATATCTCTATATTCCTTTCTGGCATATTGAGTTTTATTACATTAATTTGTCTCTTCATTTTATTTTAATTATATCATTAAAAGTTAATTTTTAACCTTATCTATTCTATGGCAGTAGTTCTCTTTTTCGTTTTACCAAACAGATCTGGCTGACTTTCGGATATATTGTTCCCTACCCTGGATGGGATTTTTGTGGGGTTCCCATGTATTTTGGGGGTATTTCAGGGTGTTGTGTAAATTGTAACTTTTTCTGACCAGAAGATAATTGAGTTTAGTACTTTCTCTGACTCTATTATCTTTCTGGCTCAGAAAGTGAATGTCTGTTTTGCATTAAAGGGACACTATAGTCACCCAGACCACTTCAGCTCAATGAAGTGGTCTGGGTGCCAGGTCCTTCAGGTTTTAACCCTTCAGATGCAAACATAGCAGTTTCAGAGAAACTGCCATGTTTACATTTGGGGTTAAGCCAGCCTCTAGTGGCTGTCCGGAAGACATATTATGCCTCAATCACGCAGAGCGTCCATAGAAAAGCATTAAAAAATGCTTTCCTATTGACACTTTGACTGCGCGCACGGCAGTGCTGTGTATGCGCATTCGGCTCCTGTGCGGTCGGACGAGGATGCTGACGTCTGCGGGGTTAGGAGAGGTAAGGGAGCCCGGCGCTGGAATTAGGTGAGCTACTGAAGGGGTTTTAACCACGCGCCACGGGAGGTGGACTCAGGGTACTATAGTGTCAGCAAAACCGCTTTGTTTTGCTGACACAATAGTGTTCCCTTAAACCATTCTTGTCCCAGTATTAAGGTTTGGCTCATGTGTGGGTTATTCTACGACACCAGCGATATTGTAACCTGTGAATTATTGGTGTACTATTATTATGGGAAAAGGGAATGCAGCCTCCCCCCCCCGTTCCTCCTGTCACCCTGTAGAATAGTCCCTTCTCCCGCTGGAACCGTTCCTGACCTAAGTCTCTCTGGGGTTTGTCTGCTGCCCCTCTGTTCCTTTGCAAAATCTTGTGTGGTGCCCCAGTAGGGAGCGGGGTTTATGGCCAGGGTCGGGGTATCAGTTCCTGCCTGAGGTTCCTGAGAGTGTGTGGAATCCATCGCTCGAGTCTGCTATTGGGTGGTTACATGTAGGTACAGAGTATAGCAATCCCCAGTGTGATTATAGCAGTTCCCTACAACCCGAAACGAGGCTGCGAGTTGAGGGTGTAACAAAGAGGGCAGTTTCAGTAAAGACTTGTGAATTTATGTGCAGTTCGGGACTTTACAAGCATTCCCCATACGAATGCTTGCTAACAACTAACAGGCCACCCTGACTCTAAATTGAGACTCATTTACCTCCCTGCTTGATGGGCATTTAAGTGGAAATAAAAGCACGAACGCTATAGGAACCGTATGCATGGCCGCCATTACGGGACTTCCACGTGTTTGCGGCCATTTTAACTCCCGAACAGCGGTGTTTTGCCGTTGAGTGTCTGGAACTAAAATCGGACACTCGGATAGGCGAACCCCGCTGAGACCTCCATACCTTCGGGAAATCATGCCACAACTACCGAACGACAAGGCATTCGCTAGAAAGACTCAACAACGTATGGGGATTCCAGCGAACCCAAGATGGCATACGGATGGCCAGCCGTTCTGGACTTTTTACACACGAACTAAGACCGACTGCAGGGCCAGAATTCATGGAACTGTTTTCGGCTACTTTGCCCGTGCGGTTGGTCAGAACTTTCAAGTCCTATATCTCCCGAACGGCTGAACGGAATGAGCTGATTTTCGAATATGTTAGTCCCACAGAAACAAGCTATCTGGGGACACCAAGTACTTGACTTCTACTCCTGATCCAGCAGAAGGGAATAGGCGACTCCATCACTACACAGCGACTTGCCGGGAATAAAAGGATGTCCCCAATGGCTGATACCCTCACTCTAGCTGGGTAGCCGTTACAGAGGGTAAAAAGGTCTGGGAGTTTAATGGTACAGGTTGGATTTTTATACAGTTTTTCAGGCCAGAGGCAAACCCACTGGAACTGATGGAGGACAGGGACACGAAGGATGTAAACCAGTGAAAACTGTACCACACAATCCTTCCCCTCTGCCTGTGATATAATTAAGGTAGTTAATGAATTAACTTAATTATCCACAGGCAGAAAAAACACATTATTGTAAAGTTTCATAAGTACCCTACAACATAACATATCTCCATAAATCTCACATCCCCTGATAGCCTGACCTGGGTGAACAACATAATCAAAAATCACCCAAATCATATCAGGGGTTCAGAAAATTTAAGGAAGTCATATTTTTGCCCAGGCGAACCCAGGATTTCATGCTCAGAACAGTTCCATAGCATCGTGGCTAAGTGCTGCTGGAAGACCGACCGGAAACCACGAGGAACCACTGCTCCATCTCCACCTACCATCTGGGGGTCTTCCCAGGACCAGTCTATGATGTCCTGGTAGTTGAAGGGCACTAGGCCTGGATCTGCCACTCTCGCTTTGCGATACCTCCAGGGTACGTTGAGACTGACTGGAGCTGAGCAGGTGTTGGAAATTTTGCTCCAAATCCCATTCCCGGGTGGTCAGATGGATCAGTTCTGTTTATAGGTCGATCGCGATAGGGAGATCCAGCATGGCTTCACGGTAGTCATGGATGTCCCAGAAGCAAGACGCTGTAGTACTCCCGAAGTCTGGGTTGGTAAATATTACCCAGAACAGGCCAGGGCCATCATAATCCTTGCCCTCCGGGTTTAGTTACATCCACCAACATATCCAAAAATCGCCCAGATCGGTTCAGGGATTCAGGAATTTCCTTAGTTCTACCCTGGAGCTTGTTCACCTTGTTCGTGGGAATGATTCCACCGAACAGTGTTATAAAACCGAACAAAGGAGATAATCGAAGCCCAGCGCTGTTCAGGAGTTTCAGTGTCCGAAAATAGTTCAATGAAACCGACCATCAAACACTGCTGCCTGTGTTCATGCGAACAAGTTGGCTGCCACCTCGTGGTCGTCCATAGGAATCGTGGCCACCCAGACGAACAGTTAGAATACTGCGGTCGAAGTAGAAATTAGGCCTTACAAGCTCCCGGGTGGTCTCCGGTTCGTGCAGTTGTTCGGTTGCTAAACCATATACTCCAAACACATGAACTAAAACTTTTCAGTGTATATTGCAGGGTTTATAGTCTGTGGGCAGGAGGCTGGCAAGCAGGCAGTTTGTCACAAAAATCTTTAAATACACAGTCATATATTGGTTTAATCTCTTCACTACACAGACGTCAAGCATTTTGTGTTTGAAAAATATTATAACATTTATTTAAAACTTAGCAAATGTATAAATAGATGATAAAACATTTTTTTTTTTTTTTTTAGTCTTTAAGCACAGGAAATGGTACACAGCACTTAGAAAGGTACAAAAAAAGTAAACCCTTTACAGAACAAGTTCACTCGAAATTAAATCTCTGCACAATACAAATCAGTAAACAGTGGGTGGAAAAAGGAAAAGAGTAAACAAGAGGAAGAGAATAAGGGAAAAAGGAAGGAATAAAATGATCATACCCTGAGCAATAGTACAAACACAACCAATATAATCATCCCCCCAGGGTTGCAAGTTTTAATAACACATACATTTTCTGTATAAGTTGCTATTCAAACATAATTAAAATTGTTCAAATTTACATATTTTCCTTTTATTTATATTATCATCCATACTTTTATTATTATTAATTCTTTATAGAGATATTAGGAGAGTGAAAAACTTTAGACTGTATACAGTATCTTTTCTCTTCCAATGTTTGAAAACCTTGTCTGAAATATTTGTAAATAGAAAAGTAAACAAACAGTTTTCTCACTTACAGTAGGTATGACAAAATCAAATCAATATAAATGGTCAAATATCCTGATTGATAGCATCCCTAGCAGTACAGTTTACTAATTAGACAGAATGTGAAAAACTGCCTGAATTGAGTCATAATTCCCATATACGGTAAGCACAGTTAAATCACATATCTCTAAAATGAAGGAATTTAAAAAGGTTTTGCAACAATGTCTGCAATGCTAATGTCATGCTGAGAGGTAAAGGTAAGAAACTATTCACCCTTTTTCCTGACAGTAGGCATTCTGTGAGTTTCGAATCCTTTACTGTGTAGAAGGTGGGAGAAACTCATTTTCAAGATAGTTGCAGATAGTAACATGGTGGAATAAGTTCCTCACTGAGATCTTTCTCTAAAAACCTGTAATTGTTATAAATGTATAAATATAGTTAAGTGAGACAATAGACTTAATGACATTTTGCAAAACCAAATAAAATTAAGTTTTGATAGAGAGATAATTAAAACACACAAAAAAGGTCCTTCTCAATCAATGTGAAGCTTCGTCATATTTCAGATCTTTCAAGAAAATGGTGTCAGTTTTTCAAAGTATGATAAACAAGAAATGATTTATTGTAACAAGATTTCTATAAATCACAGTCCATTTCTTCCAGGTACTATCATCAGCAAAATTTATCCCGATGCACGTGACCGGAACAGAAATACACTAACCAAGAGTAAGAAGAAATCTCTTAATAAAAGCACCAAGAAGTATAACTGTCAAAAATCAATGAACTTCTTGGAATCCTGTACGTCTACAAATTAGATAAATGGAAAACCCAAAAAAAATTTCATGTCCTGAATGTGGGAAATGTTTTAGGTCGAACTCTTATCTTGTTATACATCAGAGAACTCACACAGGAGAGAAACCTTTTTCATGTAGTGAATGTATGAAATGTTATGTCAGTAAATCAGTTCTTAGGCATCATCAGATAAAGCATACAGGAGAGAAACCTTTTTCATGTAGTGAATGTGAAAAATGTTTTCTCTCGAACTCACATCTTGTTATACATCAGAGAATGCACACAGGAGAGAAACCTTTTTCATGTAGTGAATGTGGGAAATGTTTTATCTCGAACTCACAACTTGTTAAACATCAGAGAACGCACACAGGAGAAAAACCTTTTTCATGTAGTGAATGTGAAAAATGTTTTATCTCGAAATCACATCTTGTTAAACATCAGAAATCTCACACAGGAGAGAAACCTTTTTCATGTAGTGAATGTGGGAAATGTTTTAGCTGTCACACAAGTCTTGTTTTTCATCAGAGAACGCACACAGGAGAGAAACCTTTTTCATGTAGTGAATGTGAAAAATGTTTTATCTCGAAATCACATCTTGATAGACATCAGAAAACGCACACAGGAGAGAAACCTTTTTCATGTAGTGAATGTGAAAAATGTTTTATCTCGAACGCACATCTTGTTGAACATCAGAAATCTCACACAGGAGAGAAACCTTTTTCATGTAGTGAATGTGGGAAATGTTTTAAACTGCGCCAATATCTTGTTGTACATCAGAGAACTCACACAGGAGAGAAACCTTTTTCATGTCGTGAATGTGGGAAATGTTTTAATCAATACTCAAACCTTGTTAGCCATCAAAGAGTTCACACAGGAGAGAAACCTTTTTCGTGTACTGAATGTGGGAAATGTTTTAATGGATATTCAAGCCTTGCTAGCCATCAAAGAGTTCACACAGGAGAGAAACCTTTTTCATGTCCTGAATGTGGGAAATGTTTTAATCGACACTCAAACTTTGCACGCCATCAAATAGTTCACACAGGAGAGAAACCTTTTCCATGTTGTGAATGTGGGAAATATTTTGCCCGTACAGGAGATCTTGTGAAACATCAAAGAATTCACACAGGAAATAAACCTTTCTCATGTTCTGAATGTGGGAAATGTTTTAATCAACACTCAGGCCTTGCTAGCCATCAAAAAGTTCACACAGGAGAGAAACATTTTTCATGTAGTGAATGTGGGAAATGTTTTGTCAATAAATCAAATTTTGTAACACATCAGAGAAAATTTTGTAACACAATCGTTCTCATGTCCTGAATGTCTGAAATGCTTTAGTCATCATGTAAATCTTGTTAAAGACCAGAGATCTCACACAGAATAGAAATGGTGTTGTGTTCTGAATCTGAAAACTGTTATAGAAATTTTTAAGGTTTTATGAGATATCGATAAATAAACATTGGAATAAATATCTTGTGTTTTGAATGTGATACCCAGGGCTGCTATCAGGGCATGACTGGTGTAATGGGAGGTATAACTGGGCCTACAGTCACAATTGGTATATATATATAGCAGTTATATATGTATACAGCAGAGAGGGCTCAGCCAGCGCCATCTTCGCTTTCCAGCTGAACGTTTCTTTAAATTACGTGAACTCTGTGGCCATAGGAGCATGTGGTCAGCATGGCTCAAATGCCAGGTTCATGAGAGTTGGAGAGAGAGGAGAAACTGGAAAGTGAAGAGGGCTCTGGCCAGCCCTCTTTGCAGTATTCAAGCCACTGAATCGCCAGGGAATCTCATCTCCCCTCTTCTTGGACAAAGGTAAAAGCAGGGAGGGGGTAATAAAATAAAAAGTAATGAAAACAATTTAAAATAAAAACAAAAAAAGAGAATGCAGCCACTATTTTACACAACATATTTACAAACAATATATCCATAGGATATTCACAAACACAATGCATTCACTACACAAACACACACTGCATACACTATACAAACTACCCACTTCACACTACATAGACTTCATCTACATAAACACTACATCCACTAAACATACTACATCTATTGGAAAAAAGAAGAAAATCATTGCTAAATTGCCACGAAAGAGTATAAAAAAAGTATAAAAAGGGCTGCACTCCTCAAAGGGGAGTCCCCAATAATCCCCTAAAGGTAACAAACAACATAAAACAGAGAAATAAGGGTGCGCCTAAAATATATAAAAGACAATATATACTTAAAATTATAAGATAAAATAATCAAATATTAAAAATATAAGATAAAATAAATAGTAGGCAATAGTCCAAAGGGAAACTTATCACAGTCCATAATGGTAGGTCCCACATGTAGAGAAATATTCTTAGGATGTTTGATGGGTTCAAGTCTTCATAATTAGATGTTAGGAGTTCGGCATATGTAGAGAAAAATAAAACAAAACTCCAATGGCACAGTAAATCAATAGATAAAATATATAGTAAAAATAGAATCAGTCTTACTCACACTTTTCAGAGCTAAGATCAGCTCTGATATTGCGCATGTAAATTGGAATGATCCCCACTTCAAGGATATGTGGAGTAGAATTTGATAGCTGAGTATCTGGCGTAGATTCAACGTCCAAATTGATGATGTGCGACCCAGAAGAAGAGCGTAAAATATATAGTGCTCACTGTATATAATTCAAAATAAAGGAGTATAAAATATAATACTCATGTAATATAGAGCAGGCTTAAACTGCTTGGTGTAAGCACTTGGGTGGTATGATCCCCACCTAGGGATTCTTTGCACTTCTTGTAAAATATGCAATATATGTAAAATCAGGTAAAAAGAAAGAAAATGGCAATATAGTGTTTTATGCCAGTAAAATTTCTTTATTATTAAAATTAAGAACAATTTCTAAACGCGTTTCGCCTTAACAGGCTTCTTCAAGTAGATAGTAATAAAAGGGGGGGGCATACCTGACATACATAAGTTTATATAGTGTGTAGAAATACTATAGGTTTCAAATTCCCGCCAAAATGACGTCATTAAAATCCACATATTGTTAAAATAAACAAAATTTTTAATCAGTAGTTAAACCAGTGATAATTAGAGTAATATAGTGAAAGGTAATCTGTACATGTATTAAAATAATGAAATGAAGGTTTTAAATGTTTAAAAATAAGTTAAAAAGAGCGATCACATGACGCGCGAGAGAAAATACTTCCTCATCACGTGATGCTCTGTGAAACGTATGCGTTCCGTTTTAATGGAACACACGCGTCATTGGAACATCATATGCAGGGAGGGACTGCCCGACCATACTGGGAGATAAGAGGGACAAGGGGTGAGGCTGTCCATCTGTAAAAGCAGGCAGACAGCCACAGCTACATCATATGAGTTTGCCGTCTGCCTGCACAAGCAGGCCGACAGCCAGCCCCACACAAGTTCAAACCCAGTGAGGGACACCATGATTGTGAAGCATATACACTTATATAAATAGTCTGAAATTTAAAGCAAACACATTAAACAATTTAGAAACAGCTAGTTTTACAAACTTGTAGTAAAATGAGATCTAAAAGGGATGAATGCATAAAATTAGAATATTATAGTAAGATGAAATCCAAAAGGGATGAGTGCATAAAATTACAATAGGCATAAGAGTAGTAGTAATAGAATTATATATACATACAAGCACTTTGCAATATGTTAAAATAACAGTTGGGAAAAATAAAAATGATAGAAATATTGTAAAATCGAAAATTAAAAAGGTATCATTGATTATAAGAAATTGCCACAAATTACAAAAAGTTAAAAAGATCAAAATCAATATTAAGACCAGTGGGAGCAAGAGTTTTTAGGTTAAATGCCCATTCCATTTCTTTTTTACCTAAAACCTTTTTTGATGTCTCCGCCTCTCCATGGGACATTGCAAGTGTCTATGCCAATACATTTAAGAGATTTCTGATTTTTTCCGTGTTGTAAAAAGTGTTTTGAAACTGATGTGATTTTCGTAGCCTTTTAAAATATTTCTACAATGTTCAGCCAATCTGGTTTTTAAATCTCTGGTAGTCATCCCGACATATTGGAGCCCACAGGGACATTCTAAAAGATAAATTACATTTTTTGCATTGCAGTGAATAAAATGTTTTATTTTATATATTTTTTGTGTCCTTGTGGATAAAAACGATGTAGTTTTGGATTTAATATTATCACTAGTGCTTTTACACACTATACATCTATTACATTTAAAAAAACGCTGGGTTTAGTTAAAAAGGTGGGGGCTAGGGATTGAAGGGATATGATTATGTTTGGTGTAATTACTTGTAAGGATAGACTTAAAGCTGGGTGCCCCTCTGAATATAACTTGTGGTTTCTCAGGGACAATTCCGGCCAGAGTCTCATCCTGTTTTAATATATGCCAATGTTTCTTTATAATCTTCTTCATAACATTACTTTTGTTATTGAAGTCAAATATAATTGGCAATACAGGAGCGGTTTTGGTGTCTTTATGGTTTTTATATTCTAATAATTCTGATCTGTTGGTTTGACTAATATTTTTTAACGTCTGGTCTAAATTATTTTTAGGGTAATTTTTTTGAAGAAATTTATCAGACAGTAGTTGGGACTGTTCCTCGAAATCTTGAGTAAGGGAACAGTTTCTACGTAGACGGAGAAATTGGCTCTTAGGTATTCCTTGAAGCCAAGGTTTATGATGGCAACTAGTCACATCAATAACATTATTAGTACATACTTTTTAAAAAAGTTTTAGTGTGACTACACTACATCTATTACCCACAAAAAAACTGCATCTACTATACACACGCTGCATCAGGATAGGCCCTGTATTGGGGGGGGGGGGCGGGCCCCAGAGGTCCAGAATTTGAACTGTTTAAGGAGCCCACAATTTCTGATGGCAGCCCTGGTGAGACATATAACAACTGTAATTCAGATTGATTTTTTACACCCCAGCATCTCACAATATAGGATTGCCTTTCAGTTGCGGACTCTATAAGAATAACTCTCTCTTTTTTTTTTCAATTAGGTGCCATATTTTTACAGTTAGGATATTTAAATTGTGAATGTCTGTTTTCATATGTTTGTTGTAAAATACATTTTTAAAAGATGGTAAACAGAGTTTTTGCAGCAATTTTATAATAGATTATGTGACGGAGCCCCTTTACTCTGACTGAGTACCTCTGTCAAATCACCTTCCTAGCTGCTTTCTGTAATGCAGCCCTAGCCACCAAAACTTGACTTGGGTTGCTGAGAACATCTTCCACCTTGGACCAGGCTGCATCTCTCTCGTTCCAGGCAGGTATAATCTCCTCAGGTTCATGTCAGCTTCTTTCCCAGGAAGTTATACACACCTCTGCCTATACTATGATCAGCTACTGTTTTTACAAAAGCACTTGTGGCTCTCAGGTCTAGCTATTTTTAAGTAAAAACAACAACAACAAAGTGTATATAAAACAAAACAAAGTGGAAGTGTACCCTTCCAAAGAAGTACAAATGTGTGATTAATTAGTTTATACTTATATGTATACAAAAATGGTAAGCAGGTTTCTTCAGTGCCTAAAAAAACACTAACATCGAACATAGTGTGTACTATACAAATAAAGTGAGTAAGAGATGATAAATGCTTAAACTCACAAATTCCAGAGCCGTAACAGGCTCTGTGTAGCAAGCCCAAAGGTGCCTATACAGGCTAGTGATGAGCATTCATGGACCACTGATGACAAATGGATCACGGATATACGGATAAACAGCAGCAATGGATGAAAATATCACTCTAAGGCCAAGTGATACGTCTTTATTGTGTATAGGGTTAATATTGTCTCAATTTGTAAGTTAGGTCGTCTGTCCCTGACATATAGAGAATCATTGAATGCATTGATTCACTTATGTCAAGCTGTACATGTGCACAGGCACATGTTGTATGAGAACCAGGACATCACATGTCCGGCTATTCTATCCAGAGGGCTTGGAAGTGTGGCTTTAAGCTGTGGATCCAAGCCTTTTAATTACTAAAATAAAATGTTCGTGTGGCATATTAAAGGGGAATTATTGAGCACTATTACAATTTCAGTTATCGAAAAGTAGTTGCAGTGAGTAGTGATTCTTGCAGTAATTATGGTCATGATTGCAATCTATCATTTCATAATTATTGATAGTGTAAGGGCTGCTAATGAGTCCTTAATGCTATTGACTCAATCACTATGACTCTGTTACTACCCTTTATTACAACACTTCCCATTGTTGGCTCAATAGAAAAGGGCCCTTTGCCTTACATTAAACAGTGAAGCTTAATGGATCGTAATCATGCAGAATATTTATTGATACATTAATAGAACCATTGTGGCCTTATTGAATTTAACAGACTTAAATCCACAGAAAACCTTTTGTAACTAACTGCTAATATTCAAAGAATTTGTTTTATGTATGAGCAGAGCAAACACTTCCCTGAGATGATCACCTTTGTAAGTAACATCACCAA